ACAACCTATAATACCTGGATCGCTGTTGTCCAAGCATGAGAGGATCACAAATCAAGTTATTCCAGCACCCTCTCAAGTTAGCTGCTGCTGACGCGGAGAGACACACGATTTGGTAAGTTTATTACCAACTCATTTCATCTTCGAATCACTTTCCTTTTCATTCTTACTACTTTGTATTCTATACTCTGACTCAGTACCAAAAACTAAATATTGGATACATGCAACGATTTTAAATAGTTAGCCTTCCTGACTACTGATTTCAATCTACTTTTTATACTTGCAGGTACGGAAAAAAACGAGCTCTGGGACGGAATTACTTCAACCTGCTTATCAAAAAGTACTACGAGAAGGCAAGCCTAGGAAAACACGGAGAAAAGCTTTCCCTCAGATCGTTGAGAGCTACAGTCACCACTCAGCTGAACGAGCAGGGAGTGGACGACAATGTGATAATGGCTAGAACTGGACACAAAAGTCAGGCTGGTCTCGACAGGTACAAGCGACCTGGTCTCACCAAAAATGTGGCTAGAGTGTCGCAGATTCTCACTTTGGACAGCCCTAGAGACTATCGAGAAAGAATGTTAACCATTGCCCTCATCTTAATCGTTATTCTGGTTACCTTTATACTGACCCGTATTTTAAACTGAACTGCCGAACTGTTTAAAATGTTTTACTTGATCCCCGTTATACTAGCTGGTAGAAATGATTGTTTTTAAACTGCTGAAAGGTTCATGATCAATACTTCAATAGAATTGTTTTGTGATTTCACCTGACTTTTATATGAATTGCTTAACCTTGTGAAATTAAAATGTTTCATTTATTCTCCTTATTCCTGAGACAGGAATTCAAAAATGTAATACTCGACTGCAAAATGTAAAATTTGTCTCTGGCAACGGCTATAAAACTACGCCTGTGCAGTGGTTTATAAAACTTAGTAAATGATCATCTAATTAGTGGCATTACAACTACACTTGAGAAGCGCCCGCTCATGGATATACACGATATCATTCCTCGCCATGAGGGCGGAACTATCGTATAGCACTCGGGCCCGTTGGGCCCTCCGTGCTATACGTAAATATCTCCTCCTCGGGCTGGCGCCCTCGTGGAGATATAAAATATTGCCCGCGCACGCGCGTGCAATATTTAGAACCGCCCTCAAGGCTGCGGTGATATCTATATATATTCAATGTCCCTTCGTGCTTCGTTATCTTGAGCTCTCTTGGTAACTGCAGATGGCATTCAGTTTATAGCTACACAGTTGTTAAAGTTATGGCGAGCACTCTTTTTGATAGTTTAAGCTGAATTAATTGTTTGACCGGCCCTACACACTGTGTACTGATTAACTCTCATTGTACATCTGACGTGTTGTCATGGTAACAGGAATTCTGTGTTACTCGTAGTATGGATTGACGGGGATACACAATTTTTAATCTATATATGTTAATGATTAACATCCCGTTGACTGTTCATCAATATGGTTGGTGTGTAATACCATTATAGTACGTGGGATTTCAATTATTCTATTGTGTTATATAATCAGTAATACTAATGTTGCCCTGTTCTGCATCTTACACCAAAGGCTAAAGCATGATTTTCTATTAAATTTGCAGCTTTATAGTTCGAAATCTTTTACTTCTATTTGCTATGATTGTTGAAAACTGTAAAGCGCCCGCTCATGGATATACACGATATCATTCCTCGCCATGAGGGCGGAACTATCGTATAGCACTCGGGCCTGTTGGGCCCTCCGTGCTATACGAAAATATCTCCGCCTCGGGCTGGAGCCCTCGTGGAGATATAAAATATTGCACGCGCACGCGCGTGCAATATTTAGTACCGCCCTCAAAGCTGCGGTGATATCTATATGTATTTGCATAGCTAAGTTAGATGTCATAAATTCGTTAACTAGTTTGTTAGCTTGCAAAATAGGGAGCGACAGGCTTGTCTGGCAAAACAATAGCATCTATATTAATAATCTTAAGTGTTAAGGTCTAAACAGACTCTTCTTCGTGATGTTGTTACACGAATAGGGTAATGGAAATTATTAGTTGGTTTGTGTGTAGATAGTAGGTCTGTGCGGCTTCTAGTGATAATAGAAAATTATTATAATTATTACGGAAGAATTATAATAAAAGTTATGTTTATATGGGAACAAGGAGAGTAAGTTTACATCGAAAAAAAAAACACCATATTTTCGGACTACCAAAATTTAGGTCACCATCGGCATCATTGTTTTCCCCAAATTATTTTTCAAGTATTTTCCTTAATTATGACTTTATCGATCTACTATCAACTTATCAATATAGTAAGTTATAAATATGATTCATCAAATAATTAATGAACACTAGTATTCGATCATGAATTGATTTAAAATGATTTTGGATACGTTCTATTAAAAATAAAGAAATAAGCAAGCTCTGTCAGTCACTAGACACCCCAATCAATGTCTGGAAAACTGCAAACATTCAGAAGACGATACATAGAGGCCCTCTTATGAACAAAAGCAAAGATGAGGAAATAACATAGTCATAATACGTATGTGATGTAAAATGTGTTAGGCATAAGGTTAGTTAGCAGTTAATCTGTTAAGTGAGATTTGGAACAATGAGAACATTGACTAATTGTTAACACGATTAATCTATATTATAACTTTATAACATACCTTTGCGAACACAATATGGACAAAAAATCATGAGGGTGAACGAAATATTTCTACGAACATAGTGATAGTGTAAAACTTATACAAAGGATGCCGCAAATCACAATGCTGACATTTGACAACATACCGCCCGGCAAAAAGCCACTGAGCTGCAAAATTTTGCCACTATACTCGATAGAATTAAAGATGTTAAGTGATTTAAACCTCATTCTGTTCGATAACCATAATAATAATATGCCATAGGACTACTTGTTCCAGAACCACGTGCCTAAGAACAACTTGTTCACTTGAAGAACCGTGGACATTTCTGTGAATTCGCCGCGATTTTCAAAATTTTCGCCGCGATTTTGCCTAGTTTGGCTTGTCGTGGCGCCGCGATTTTTGGCCTAAATAATCGCGATTTTCTTTTGTCCTTGGTCATTCTCGATACGTACTCCTCAAGGCAAAGCTCGTTTTACGAATGGGAGCTGGGAGGCCTGCCTTCCGAGATCGCATTACAAAAGGGAACCCTCGAGTCCAAAATCGTATATCGAGGGGTAGGTGGTACTGGGTGGCGCTCAACCTGTCATTCGGCCAAATCTCTATTCATTATGAACATAAATATAATAGCCTCTGGTCCCCCAGGTATGGTAGGTTCGGACTTCGAAAAACCAAAAAAATACTTTTGGCTCATAATGATCAGAGTAGCATGAAACATGAACAAAATTAGTTTCAGGAAAAACTTCCAAAATCGTATATCGAGAGGTAGGTACTACTAGTGTACTACTAGGTAAGGACTTCAGAAAACCGAAAAAAATATTTTAGGCTCATAATGATCAGGGTAGCATGAACCGTGGAAAAATTGGTTTCCAGGAATCCACTTTCACAAGCATTTCTTAACCCACTCGTCTGCTGACGTAACAATAACATTGTTAACCAAAAACTTCTCAACTTCCCTAAAACTTAGACATAAAAACTTAACTTATACCAATAGACATAAGTTTACCACTAGACATAAAGTTAACCACTAGACACCCCAATCAATGCCTGGAAAACTGCAAACATTCAGAAAACGATATGAACAAAAGCAAAGATGAGGAAATAAAATAATACGTATGTGATGTAAAATGTGTTAGGCATAATATAATGTTAGTTAGCAGTTAATCTGTTAAGTGAGATTTGGAACAATGTGAACATTGACCAATTGTTAACACGATTAATCTATATTGTAACTTTATAACATACTTTTGCGAACATAATATGGACAAAACTCATGAGGGTAAAGGAAATATTTCTACGAACATAGTGTTAGTGTAAAACTTATACAAAGGATTCCACAATGCTGACAACATGCTGCCACCTCTAAGTCGCCCACAAAAAGCCACTGAGCTGCACAATTGTGCCACTACTCGATAGAATTAAAAATGCTAAGTGATTTAAACCTCATTCTGTCCGATAACCATAATGATAATAAGCCATAGGACTACTTATTCCAGAACCGGTAAAAAGAAGGTTTGAGCTGGTATATTGAACAATTGAGTTCTGGGTATGGGAGCGTTCACATATTATGAGTCAGCAGCCGAGGGGAGAGGGGCGGGTTTGGAAATGCTGGACGGGGGGGGGGGGGGGGGACTCCAGAGGGGGTGAGGGGTCTAAACCTTGCTGACGTCAGCAGAAATGTACCGTGAATTTTGGCAAACATTTTTGTTTCAAATAAATTTGATTAACAATAAAACTTCGCTAATTTCCTTAATATTAGTACTTCGGTGAACTGATATAAACTCTGTTGTCCAACTGTTTATAATTATATCAGTCGCATACTAATTTCTCTGCCTAAACCCGTCAGCATTTCTATACCCCCTCGCGGCGTGGCTCGCTGGCTGACGGGAGGGGGTAAGTATTAAGTAAGGGGGTTGAGACGGCAAGGGGGTCTGGCGACTGCTGACGTCATTAGGGGGGGGGGGGGGGGGGGTCGCTCAATGCTGACAGTTGCTGACAGAAGGGGGGGGGGGGGGTAAAATTGGCTAAAATCTTGCTGACGTCATATGTGAACGCCCCCTATGCACCTTTCTCCATCAATTTCTCAATCAATTTATATACCCATCTGCTAACAGAATTTGGACAGGATGCTTTATCGGCAGTCCTATCATAATATTTAAACTTTAAACTTTTTACAGGCATGGTTGAGACTGAATGTTTTGCTGTTTTGACATTCAGTCGCACAGCGTGCTACATAAACATTATAAAAACTTTATCATTTTGCCCCCCCCCCCCCCCCCCAGATTTTGATATGAGGAATTTTCGAACTGAAGTGCGTTTCGAACAAATATAAACCGTTTTCATATTATTTTCATATTATTTTCAGATGGCGTTAGGAGCGTTTGGATTGGTGGGATTGCTGCTAAAAGTGATAGGACCGATTACTATAACAGTGCTCATCTCACTCCTTGGGCTTTGTCTAGCTGGCGAAGCAGTTAAAATGGCCAGCCTAAACTGGGGAATATCGCTTTTGTTAGTTAGCTTTAAATTGGATGATTTAGAATGAAAGAAGGTTGATATGACAGGAGTGTAACTTTTTGTTTTTAGCGATGATATCAATTCGCATTAGCAATCGTGCTCTTTGAATTAGTACAACCACGGAAAGTTCAATAATATTGATATTTGATAATGAATAAATGTAGTTAATTTGCAGAATGGTGGTGTTGGTGACTATTTTCTCTGAATACCTAAAGAATGTTCCAGTGCCTGTTCCCACTGTTAGCTTCAATATAAGCAAGGTGAGTTAAAGAGCCTGTTCCCACTGTTAGCTTCAATATAAGCAAGGTGAGTTAAATAAGTGCATGTTCCCACTGTTAGCTTCAATATAAGCAATGTGAGTTAAAGTGCCTGTTCCCACTGTTAGCTTCAATATAAGCAAGGTGAGTTAAAGTGCATGTTCCCACTGTTAGCTTCAATATAAGCAATGTGAGTTAAAGTGCCTGTTCCCACTGTTAGCTTCAATATAAGCAAGGTGAGTTAAAGTGCATGTTCCCACTGTTAGCTTCAATATAAGCAATGTGAGTTAAAGTGCCTGTTCCCACTGTTAGCTTCAATATAAGCAAGGTGAGTTAAAGTGCATGTTCCCACTGTTGCACAAGGAAGTATTATTTCGATAGATGCTCAATCCAAGTGGAGCATACGAATCATGCATTATATGAATGGTGTTCAAGATAATGAGGAAATGTAATAAGAGTGCACAGTATTACAAAACTTGTATGTCATATAGATGGCATGTCGTTGTGGAAACTCTGCACAGACAGTCCCGAGTGGGAAATTAAATAAATTAAACATGTTTAAGATTAATTTACAACGCAATGTTATGATTTTCCAATCTTTTAATTCAGCAAATTTGAAAATTTAAATACAGCAACACTATTTAAATACAGCAACACTAGATCGTTATAAGCCGTTTTCAAATACTGATGGCTAATATAGTACTACAGTTAAAACAGAATCAGTGATGAATCACTGGTCGCACCGGTTAAAATGAACGACTCCCTGCGAGAAGACCTTTCTGTTTGTTTGAGTCGAGTCTATTTCTCCCGTTCTTATAATGGAGTCTCTCCAATTGCAGCTGCTAGTGGATTTGAAATAACGTTCTGAACGACATTGTTTTCTTCTACTTGGTGGACATTGTTTGCAGGTCTTGTGAAGTCTCTGATTAGTCTCAATATCCTCCTGATACTTGATATTGTACCTTCTTTCAGAGCAGGCATTCTCCAAAAGTAGAGTGCTGGGTTAGCTGCTGAGTTAGCTGCTAAAAGTATAATTTGTGTTGCAATATTGTAATAAAGCTCTGTATCAAACCCATACAAACGATAGTACCATTTATCCTCAGTAATCCAGAAGTAGGTCAACAAGATATAATTAATAGCTACGGGTATGTTGCAGACTCCATAGAGCAGAGCGAAAAGTAGAATGGTTACAGTCGCTCGATTCCTGGAACGTTGAACCTCTTGTTGTTGCACTTGAACGTCAGTTCTTTTGAGAACCACGGCTGATATGATGCAGCTCGTAGCAACAACAACAACTGGGATTACATAGGTCAAGTTTCTGATAATTACCAAAATGTAGGTTTCAGTACCACTCCAACTTTTTGAATTAGTGACAAATAAGTCACAGCGTAAAAAGTTAAAGGGATAATATATTTTTGCAAACTCAAACACATGGGTTCTTATAAATAAAACTAATATAAACACTGTAAATGTTATAACTGATATAATCGAATATCTAATTTTTGGTCGTTGAAAGGGTCTGAGCAGTGAAATTGTTCTTGTAATACTTAGGCACATTACAAGGAAGATGCTTATTGACACTGCTGTATACCATAGGTACACCCAAGCCGCGCAGCCATATTCATTCGCAAACCAGGGACCTGGTTGTCGATTTGAGAGGGATGAGATTCCTACCGGAAGAACTGCTATGCTGACCAAGATATCATTCCCTGTTATAAGCATATAAATGACATTGGAGATGTCTCTTCGCTTTGACTTGAAGTATATGAAACTGATTAGGTTTCCAACTGTTCCGAAGAGGAAGAAAAGACAACAGATAGATCCGTAGGTCATATCTGCTGCCTTATTGAAGGTTACTGTTGTATTCACCATTCTGATAAAGATACAATTTATTATAACTTCCAAGATAAATGTGAGCCGCGTCAACAATTTAACGATTACAAACTTGGGAAGGCATCGGTCAAGTGTAAATCTACCTCATATAGAAAGATTGCACGCGGGAGAAAGATATAATAGAATAAAGATAAAATAGAATTGTGATTGTAATTCTCGGTAGCACGATATCCTTTTTTTCCTTAAAAAACAGAGAATTCAAAGACTAATCTTAAATCGATGATGGTTGACCGTTTTTTGTATTGTTGATCTGACCAGCAAACTTATAAAAAAATAATCTTTAAGACTTTTTGAGACAATTTAAATCTTATCGTTTGGTGCAAGCGGTAAACAAATATTCACAGCCCCAGAAAATATTATTAGTTGGAGTTTTTGACTTATAAAGAGTTCGATTTTGAACATCATCACCTCTTCTATCCGACAATCATGAGCAACTCATTGATCCCCATTTTATGGAGCATCATATAATATGTAAACATGACCCCGTATTTATGAGTCGCAGGACCCTGTTTGTCCTTTTTTTCGGCTATTGGATTAGTCTAGTAAAGAGCGAAACGAGTTAAATATCGTTTAAGTTCACCATCTGCGATACAAATTGCCCTTATCACCAAGACATTATAACTCATCATCTACAGATTCAAGAGCCAATATGTCCAAAAAGTGTGTTTTGAGGAAATCGATTATACCATTTTCCATTTAAAATACTCAGGCATCATGTTATTGTTAGCTTCAATAAAAGTGAGATGAGTTTTATACTCGTAGTGGTAGAACTACTACTAGCCATGATATTGTATTCTGCAGCTGTTCAATTTCATCAAGCCCTATAATTTACACCTTATTGTAGACATTTTCAGAAGATAAAGTGCGGTGTGGCTTGGCTGAAGCTGTTTTCTACCCTATCGGTAAATACAGTAGGAATATTGAGCTAGAGCTGATTTTATATTTGATCTCTATTACAAATTGAACCCAATTTCTTATTTATCTTAAAATCAAAATATGTGCTTATAAATATAAAGTTAATTGTATCTTGTCCTTTATAAACACTACCACATCTCTACAGATAATGATATCCCTAACTTTGGTATGGAGCTTGTGTGCTATTCTCACTGTAACTGATGTTCTGCCTCAAGATGACCCAGCAAGAATAATTAATATTACAAGTGCTATTGATGCTACAAATTGGTTATATTTTCCGTATCCGGGTAAGAAAAGTTACGGGCACATGAAAATGAAGTGACCATACATGAAATGATTTGAGATAGTGATGCTGAAAACTAGGATTTTACACAGTTTGGGCTCGTTGAATTAGGATTTGAGGTTTCTCAGTGACAATATCATGTTCAATTTACTTTCAGGACAGTTTGGAACACCCCAAGTTAGTTTAGGAGGGTTTATCGGCTTTATTGCAGCCGTTATCGGTGGTATGATTGAGAGTTTGGGGGATTATTTCGCTTGTGCTAAACTCGCCGGTGCGCCTCCCCCACCTCGGTCAGTAGATATCGAAATAGAACCCAATCAAAATAAAGTTCTTGATAATGATTAATGATACTTTCCAGACGATACAGTAAAAGGGTGAAAATGAATAGATCAATCGCCAACAGTAACAACTAATTACTTCAATTGATGGGACCATTTTGCCATTGACTGACGGCAATGCGATCGCGCCATTTTAGCAAGTCATTTGTTATTAATATTTCCCAGATACGCACTCAACAGAGGTATCATGATGGAAGGAGTGGGATGTTTCTTGACAGGGCTCTGTGGTCCAGGAGTCGGGGTTACCAGTTACAGTGAAAATATCGCAGCAATCGGGCTAACAAAAGTAACCATTCTTAATTTTCAATAAAGCCCCTAAGTATCATTTCATTAAATATTAACTTCAAACAGTTTTAGGAGGAAATTCCTTCCAGTATTCGAAACCTAGAATAGTAGTTCACCTTAACAAGGTCGACCTAATATCCAGGTAGGGAGTAGAAGAGTGATGTTCTGTGGAGCTGTAGTTGTACTCTTGATGGGAGTGATAGGCAAGCTAGGAGTACTGTTTGCCTCCATACCTGGCCCCATTATTGGTGGGATGTATCTGGTGATGTTTGGTGTGGTTGCTGCTGTGGGGATATCTAATCTCCGGGTAAATCTCCACTACTCCTATCTGCCATTCTCTCCGAATTCCATTTCTGTATAAACATGCCTCAGATACATGTATTGGTGCTTCAGTGCTGGTATTTCATTTTTTATTTCTCCATTTCTTTCTCCTTCTATCGTAACATGCTAATGATTTGATTTTCCCCAGTTTGTTGATATGACTTCGTCACGAAATATATTTGTGCTCGGGATATCTCTCTATATGGGGATCGTTATACCAATGTGGTCCGGTCAGATCATGGACGATCCCGAAAAAGTGGTAAATATAGTTGCTCATGATTAGCTGGTAATATTTCATAATTTAATATGTTAGATTTGGTTTATGAGCATTAAATTTGATTCGTTTCCTAAGCGCAATTTTCACTGCACCAGTCACTGTATTTTTTGTATCCTCATAAATGCGTCTATGAGACTATACCAAGAACCTTAGACAAGTAACAGATTTATTCGATCCCCAGAAAGCAATAAAAACGGGAAACAAGGAATTCGATCAGCTGGTGGCGGTAGTTTTAAGCTCTGGTATGATAGTTGGATCTTCCATATCCTGCCTCCTAGACAACACTCTACCTGGTACTGATAAAGAAAGAGGTCAGTTGAGAGACAGACTATGATCCTAATCTGGTTATTATTTTTCTAGAAGTTGCAGAAACTTCAGAGGTGCTGGTTGATAATGTCTCATTGACTTCTACAATCATAATTTTTTATTATTACAGGGATAACGGGTTATCGATTAGCCTCTGAAGACTGTACTGATAAGGAACTACTGGAGAAGATATACCGTGAACCGGTTATGGAGTACTTTGCTAATAAACTACCCATCTTAAGAAAACTTCCTTTTGTGCCTGAACTTAAATAGACTGTCGGTTCCAATGAATAACCAAAGGATAGTCCTAAAATTAATAATAGTATTAGCATGTGTAAACAACCGTTACTCGTTTTATGGCAACAGAATGACCAGTTGGTTATAAGTAGCAACTTTTGAAATTAAAGATAACCATGCTATACGGCTAGTTTAAAGCTGATCATCGTGCCAGTCGCCAGATGTGTGATATAATTTTGTGGACTAATCCGTGAACTTTTCTAGACTTTTCTAATCGCATTTGACGTATAAGGAGTACTGTGTACTGTACTTATATCTTTATATCTCCAAGTCAATATACCAGCTGTGATTCCAAATATTTTACTTTAATTCGCCGGGGTAGATTCTTGTAGTCGTTATACTTATTTAATTAAAGTCGTACTTCATCTTTATTGATAACGAGGATTTTACTTTGAATCAGTTTTATTATGGCAAGTTATACTAAAATTTATTTCCAATTTACTACCATCATATACCTGACTATACCTTAATTTCCAATTTAAGTCGTGTAATTTAACAATATTCCTGCATCAAGAGTGGTCTATGAACTAGAACAGCTGTGTTATACACAATACAGCTGTACTATTTCAATATAGGTGACTATATTGGTAATATATCCTCTCAGTCCAATACATTCATTAACGGACCTTAGGTTTAGGATTTAGAGTGCCATCTGTCCCTCTTCAACATCGCGACTCGCGAGGAGGTGCAGTTGTTCTTTATCACGCTAGAAGATTGTTCGGCGGTCAAGTTGAGCTTTACGTTTAATGAGCCAGTCTGAGTTTGAAATTCTAGACCCTTATTGAAATTCGGAGCAGTTGATTCGATATTTCATTTTTTGAGTTTGATACAAACCAATTTTGAATTTATCACAAATAAACTTATTATCGTGATGTATGCAATTTGATTATCCAATATCCATTTCGGTGCAAACGATCGCTAGCAAATCTTTGTTCAGATACGAATTCGAAATGGCCGATTTAGACAAATTTTATAGGACTGGCAGCAACGAAACCTGTTCTCCTACCTTATCCTACAACTCAGAGCTCATCCACCTGATACCCATCAGCTCCAGCTCTGAGAATGCGGAGCAGGTACAGGATATAGCGGGGGTTTGTTTCATCAGTTTGGTGGCACTCTCAACTTTAGTCAACTCTGTCATCATTATTCATTTCCTGGTGAAGAGGAAGTACAAAAGATCACATCACATGACTTACTTGAATCTCGCTGTAGCTGACCTGTTAATTTCTGTTTACGGTACTGCTGTGAGAGGACCAGGTGATTTCTTTATCTTTCTACTTTTATGAAATTGAATATGGATTAAAGTAAGGTATTGTTTTCAGCTGAAATTGCTCAAAAATTACAATTTTAAAAGATATTCAGAGAAATTGAGCTATTACCAGTTTCTGAGTTTCAAGTTTATAACCAATTTATTTTCACTTTTCAGCCATTTACAACGGTATAAATACAGAAACAATGTGTTTCGTGTCTCTTCTCATCAGCACATACGTCACCATGGTAAACTTCGCTTCAATCGTCCCTCTCACCTACGATAGAGTAGTTGCAGTCCTCTTCCCGTACAGGTCCGGTAATAATAAATAATAATTAAAATCTGTGAGGCTTTCAACTTTGACATACTTCTCGTTAACTTTAATCTGCTCAGCCGTATTCTCAGTTCCGAGTCTTAGTCATATCATGACTTGGTTAAAATGTTATTCTTTTAGTTAAATGTGGTCGAACTGTTGAATTGTAAGGTGATTGTTTCCATTCGAAAGATGATTTGCATTAAATCATTCATTCTGATTTCTATTCTATATCTCAGATACAAAGACCAGGAACACAGGACACAACTGAAATACTTTATCGCTTGCATCTGGATCGCTCCCATTGTAGTACTACTAATCATCAACATATCTGTATACGCTCAGGGTCGAACCTTCAGCAGATTCTGCCCCGACACCTCCACATGCAGATTTGATACTTGGGGGGATATCTTCATCTACTTTCTTGCTAGTTTCTTCTACATCCTTCCCCTCCTCTTCAACATCATATCCTACTCTGCGATCATCAGGCAGCTACGAAACAGACGACCCAGCTCCAGGAACCTCCTCATTTCTCTGAGAGCTATCCTAGTGTGTGTTGTATTCACCATGTCGTGGGTCCCTCACTTTACTTTCCACGTGACACATCTAGCTGATCAACACTTCATGTGGGTCTGCCAAGTTTTCATGTACCTCAATGCGATCACTGACCCCTTGTTGTACGTTTTCTCCCCGAATGCTATCAAACCATGTATAAACAAGATAAGGGTGAAACGGGGGTTTACTCATAAAACCTGCGGAGATGCAGTGTCTCATGTGAGTGTATTTTTGAAAAGAGGTCCTAATGATTCGGGGATCATAGTTAATCCAGCTTATCAATCATCTTCAAACATGTGCAGTTCATCAGTAACCTTGTAAATTTCAATTCTCATGAATAATGATACCAGAACATCATTAAACTGCGAGCATAATTGTCGTGTTTTCAGAAAGGCAATTGGTTGATCTTTTGACGCTGCCCGAATTTTGTGTTTAAAAAAAATACTTTTCGCGTGAATGTGATAATCAGGGCCCTAAAATCTAATCTCCAAGTTTTTGTGTGAGTGATTAATTATAGCTGTAACGTTTTTCGTTTACTAACCAAGGCAAGATTAAGTTTTTAACAGAACCAAATATCTATAAATGAATTACCCAACTGATTTCTTGAAATAGAAACCTGGGAGTTAGGACAGGAAAAGCTAAGGCTAATAAGGTGCGATTTGCCATATTTTATTCATTCGAGTGTGGACAGACCATGAACTTCCATAATGATCAAAGACAAAATTACACAAGAATTGTTGACAATGAAAAATCTTGCTAAAATCACAGGTATAATATAATAATTAAATATCTTATCATTGAACGAAAAAGCAAAAATGCCGTTTTTTAAAACCAGCTTTTAACAATTAACGATTCATTTTTCACCAAAATGCTTTTAGTTTTACTGTTAAAAATTAATGATCTGCTCTGTAATTACGATTTTCAGTGAATTTGAACATGAGGATTGATATTAGTTTACAATCAACGCTAAAAGTACAAACACAATTATTTTCAAACATTAATCATTCAAATGCCCAAGGCCAAATTGAAATAGGCCACTTGGTCGATGCACGAATTGGACAGCCATTAATTAGGCGAATTCGTTTATTGTTTGTGCATTGTGAAATCGTTTCCAGATAAGGGTAATTTTTAAAATCTGTATCAATGAGTAAACTGATCTGAAGACATTGTTCATGTTGACTAGATCCCAAGCTATGTCGGGTACGTCAGACTCAGAATTTTCTTTGTTTTTTATTCCGCATGTCTTCGGCTTTAAAAGGTGTTTCAATTATCATTGAGAGTATTCCGTCGCGTTATCTTTCATTCTATCATATTTCATGGCGCCGGAAATATGGATTACGATCATATTAAGTTTAAACAAGCAAGCTTTTGAGTTTATGTAGGTGGGTGGGCGCTGTTTCAATCTTTTTACCATGTCTTTGATCACTCCACGTTTATCTTTTGTAGCTGCTGAAGCGAGAATATCTAGAACCTGGCTTTGTCTTATTGAGTAGATTCTCGAAAAATGGATGATCAAGCCAATTGAATCTTCGTTCAATATCATAACCATCATTTCATACGGTATGTTAACAATAAAGAATTGTAGAAAATGTAAACAAGTATTCATTATGTAATCATCTACAATCGATATTTGTTTTTGGCTGAGCATTCTGTTTAAGAACTGGAGAGCACTTGGAAATATGGGCAGCAAATCCACAGGTTTCACCTCTTCTTTAAACCAGTCTATTAAAATAATGCTCACACCCTGTATTAAGCCAGGTAAGTCGCAATCTTTGTATGACAGAACTTCAGTTATAGCATCAACGATACCCTCCTTCACAAGGAAACACTTAGCTTTCTGTACATCAGATTCATTGAACTCCGAGTGGATTGAATCTTTCATATGTTGTATGAGATTCAAGATGTTTAGCAATTCTAGTGAATGTGTCTCGATTCGTTTAGCATAAGTAAGGGCACTCGAGACGAGTAGTAAAACGTCTTCCAACTTATTGTACTTGACTGGAAATGGTGATCCATTGTAGATTTCTAGAACTTGGTTGAAAATATCTTCTTCATTCAGGAAACAAGCCAAAAGGGCTGTTGCCAACACCACCTTTTCATTTACTAGCCAATGACAAATCTCCTCTGAATCAAACGAGCTCTTCTCAAAAACTTCTTTTATCATGCGAAGCAGTGGTACAATCAATTGCTTGTCATTCCAATATTTAACGGCTGTGCAGACCATTCTGGGAAAGGTAGGGTCACAGTTAAGTATACTGCTCTGGATGTTTGACGTTTCAGCCCCAAAGTACCCCTGTATATATTCCATGATTTGGTCCCGGGAGAAATCAAACATGGGAAGGTCCCAAACATTACTATACGGATTCTCTCGAGCTTCATTGATTTTTGATGCAAATTCATCACAGCTTAGGCTGTTTCCTTTAATCGGCTCAACCAAAATTGGCTGAAATTCTTTGCTGCTCGTGCTTTCCAGCGAGTCTCTTTCCTGTCCTTTCAAGCTAGTCTGTGGACCCATTTCTTGGCGTGTATTCTTTGACTTACCCGCTTTTTGTTTACCTTTCGCCTTTTTGACGCCCTGATCTGATATAAAATCGAGAAGTGGCGCCACTTTAAATTCTTTTGCAAAAGAAGTTAAAACATTTTGCAGTTCGTCTTTAATAAGTATCTTCACGAGATCTGAAATTAACAGAAATTGTTTGATTTTAAGTTCACGATGTAAGTTACTACCAAAACACTAAAAATAGGTATACTCATTGGATGTGACCTATCTGCAGTGACATACTACTGTTTTACAAAAGTGGAAATATGCTGCACTTTTTGTGTAGGAATCTTAAATCTATAATAATTGATAAACAATGTTAATAAAAACGACTAACGAGATGTTAACACCCAATGGTTAATGCCTACCTCGGGCTGTTTCTGGTGTTGAACCCATATCAAACTTTTCAAACTGATCAATCAATTCCAGAACTCTGCGTCTGTTCTTTCGTCTTCTGTTATTCTCCTTTGTTCGGATACTATTCACTATCAGGTCTACTGTTGCACTTATTTCTTCCATTCTATAATTGCTTTATCACATGATCATTAAAACATTTATAACAAGTACGTGTGAAATTAGTTAAATATATATGTTTCAAATGATTTTAATCATAAGATGAATTATTTTATATTCAGCTCAGTTACCTAGTTGAACTAATTATAATGAATTATTTACTCACGCGCGCTTCTACAGTTAAGAAAAGTAATGAACGAACATCTTTATTTAGAAATTCGATTTTTAATAGAAATGGAAGACAAAGAATGACGAAGCAAAGGAGAAACCACTAAATAAAAGATCAAGACCAAGACTCGAATATTAATAGAAAACTAAACGGGAAATATTTCACTGCTTGTTATGTTTGACGTGTCTTCACCATCATCACGCCTAAGATTAACTCAATTTTAGTAACAAGACACTGATAAATTAGATGGGCTTGTATGGAATCGTGGATGCAAATAATTTGAACAAAAAACAGAACGTTGAAGGTGAATATCCATCACGTTCATACGAATACGCATCGAGTTATCATAATTCTATTACCAAAATGCACCTGGTAACGAAATTCAATACTTATGTCCAAAAATTTCCAAAGAAAATTTTACAAAAAAACTTTCTTTGTATTTGTACATTATGAACGTATTGCAAAAATTAATTGGGAAGATCATGTATTTATTAATTGCATACGTTGCTCTTTTCTTACTCTCTTATCTTAGTGCTTATCTCTGTTGATTGTAACGTGCAGCTACAGTGGTTTGTGTATCACCGTGTTACACGACCATGACCATCCCGCCCAGCGAGTATGGTGAAAAGGAGATCAACATGTTAAGGGGTGACTCAGTTGAACTTCTCAGCAAGGCTATGAACGAGATGGAGATCACAGCAATTGGGCAACTATCCCCTTCGCGCGTGAAGAAGATGAACAAGGACACTGCGTGTGCGGTGTGACTTGTTGCACGAGGTATTAAGATATATGGAGGAGTTCACTGGTGTCGTATCCACGGACTACAAGATGGCCTCAAACTCAGTTAAACATCTTATGTTCGAGACACAGGAGACCATCATTAAGCTGCAGTCAGAACTACTAGCCTGCAAAAATGAACAGTTGGAATCGTTGCAGACGTCAGTTAAATCGTCAGTCGGAGAGTCTGTCAAGGCTGAATTCCAATCCTTCAGCTCGGTATTACAGGCGAATTGTCCAGAATCTCAGAAGCCTGTCAGTTCTGAAATGATCAAGAAAGTTGTGAAAACTGTGGTACAGGAGGAAGACCGAAACAAAAATATGATGATTTTTGGTTTATCGGAGCAGGACAATGAGGAGCTCAGCACCGTGGTCAGTGAAGTGTTCTCAGCAATCGGAGAGAAACCCAGAATCGAAGCTAGTAGAGTCGGAAAGCTCAAACCTGGCAAGGCTGTGAGACCAGTTAAAGTGACTGCGGCAAGTGCAACAATTGTTAATCAGATTCTCGCTAAATCGAGAAACCTGCGAGCAACGGAAAAGTTTAAAACTGTTTTTATCAGCACAGATCGATCTCCAGAACAGAGAGCCAAGCAAAGAGAACTCGTCAGGGACATGAAAAGACTGGTAACTGAGCAGCCTGATAAGCTACACTTTATCAGAAACGGTGCTATAAAGAGTACTGATAAGACTAATTAGACTGCAGAATGAGCTTGTGTGTTTTTAATAATTGATTATTATTAGTGTATTCAAGTTTTTGTTGTGTGGAGGATGTTTTAACTCACTCTTGTGTGCCCAGTCTTGCACTGTCAGTATTTCTCGACACTTTGAGCACACAAAACTGTCAGTTTTCGCGACAATTGTCAGATTTCGTTTTCAATTCTGTCAATTTCAAGCGCTACTAGCAGTAGCTCTACTACTAGTAGTCTACTTCAGCTCACATTAAAGGGAGTTTTCGTCGTGCGTGTAGCGCCCTTCAAGTTTAACTTGGACGGATAGGATTTATAAAACTTCTTATTATAATATTTATACTATATTGTATTTTGTATTTATGTATTTTAGTAAATGGTCATTAGAACCACCGGCACCGTCCGGGCCCAAACAAACATTGATCAGCCAGCACCATGTATTTTAGTAAATAACTCTAAGGAACCCTACCCAACAGCGGTTTGCCCACAGTTTTCGATTCAAAAATACAAACTTCGTTCCGTGCAGCAAACTGACCTACTGAAAATAGTACCATTCACTTTAGCTAGGATTAATGTTGATGATCCCACGATCCAAGTCCAGGTTCTCACTGCACAGTGCACACTGCACAGTGCACTTATCAGCTTTTCGATAATGGAAAAAGTTACTATGATTACATTGGATGTGCACGCAACGTCCGCTCTACGGCATTTTTTTCTACTGTTGAGTAGCACAAGAAGAAACCTTATATGTATCTAGCTAGCATCACGCGGTTGCAAGAAACTGTGCATCTAATTTCTTATCCGCAATTGATCATGTTATTGATAAACCTCCAAGTTGCAGCGTCATTTAACATACCATCTGTTATTTGCTTTATTTGAGATGAGTAAAGAATGGAGAAAAGTAGAAAAGATTATGGGTAGTTTTTTTTTGTATACTGACCAGATGCCGACACTGCTCTTTTGCTATAACTCAGTTTTCGTAACATGATATTTAATATGATTTGAATGATATGAGAAGCATATGTATAAGCATGTGATAAAAACTGTCTATTAATTAGATTTGTAAATTGCAGAGCTTTCAGGTGACCAACTACTGTGTGACCTCATCACGGTTGATGTCATGGTTAAGTTATTTTTTCATGTCCTGTCAAATAAGTTAATGGAATGTTTTGTTCTCCTGACGCTGCTTTGAGTGAATATTTACTAACATGATTTATGGATCTTGCTTAATCGTGTGAAATATATGGCACTCTAATATATGCTCAACAGATAATGATGCTTTTAGTTTAAACTTTTAAACAATAATTATTGGTGGGATCACATTTTTTGGGTAACACGACATCTGTCCGACAGCGACATCTGTCCGATAGCACTATTTTCGTGTGTTTGAAGTGATATCTCAAATTTGGCACATAGAAATTTATCCAAACTTGCACAAATTATTTGTCTTAAAGCTATCTTACTATCTAGAAAGTTTAAAGAAAATCGTATCGTTGGATCTCCAGATATATGCTTTGGAACCACTGAAAACCACCGAATTGGATATATTTTTGTGTTTAAGGTAATATCTTAAATTTGGCACAAAAAAACTCGCTCAAACTTACACAGATTATTCGTCCTATAACCACCATACTTTATGGAAAGTTTCAAGAAAATCGTACGGTAGGATCCGACATAAACTATTGTCCAAATAACCTATTTTCTGAGTCGGACAGATGTCGCTGTCGGACAGATGTCGGCCAATCCATTTTTTGCTTTCATCTAATTCCCGATAACAAAAATTCAGTCAATGATTTGTTGTTTATATCAAAATCCATTTCAGGTTTTGGTAAATGATCTTTCTGGGGAGGACACTGCTTATATAGTTATATGCCTCCTTATGGTACTCCAGACGCTTACTACTGCAAACCCTTGAGCCTTGGCACCTACAACTACCAGTCTCATCAAATATCCTAAACAAGCAAATCTTCCGACAAGCCATGTCCTCAAACTTCACTTCAAACTTCAACAACATTTTCGCGAGTTTTGAGGGTTTTGGCAACGCTACAAAATGTACTGCCAAACTGTCTCAACTCACATCTGGTCTGGCTTCATTCAACCCGGAGAGTATAGCGTTTATAAACGCTCTGGGTAAACCAGGTCCAGGTGTAACTACAGGGAACTTCCTGTTGCTGGGGAACTACGAGATGTGCGGGACAGGAGCACTGGAGGATAAGGCTACCGGGTACAAGTATGAGAATTGTGTTGTCACCGCAGCTTTAACTTTAGGAGGCTCCCCCCCCCCCCCTTGCTCTTACCTAGACAGGCTGCAGTCCTCCCGAGTGTAAGAGTAAAAATGATTTGCAGAACGTATTCAAACAGATCGCTGATCTGATAAATAAATCAGGGATAATCCACACTGATCCATCAACATGGACTATTATGTGTGATGTGAAACAAGAGTTCGATGCCGGGGCCTGCGGGTATAGGACGCAGCGGCGGAAGTCACTGCGGCGGTGGACGGTACAGCGGAGGACGGTACAGCGGAGGACGGTACGGCGGTAGTTTCCAAAAAGGTTGGACGGTACGGCGGATCACATGACACCCACTTTCTGGTTCGTATCAGATCGTGTCCGGTCTGCACAACGGTGGTTAAGCGAGTGCACGATGAGCTTGTTACGGTGAGATCTCATATCACTGCGCCGAGATGCAATGTGTAATAACAAGGGCATGAGAACACGTCACGAGGGATCGCATCCAGGAATCTGATCAACCGTAGCCAAGAAGAGAGGTTGCTCAGTGAAACGTAGATAATGATAGAGGCAAACAGTATATAAAGCGGATCAAAGTTGAGGAGATTATCTCATTAGCACCACCATCTCCACTCTCCAGTACTGCAACACTACAACTTGAGTACAACAGCTACAACGATGTTCGTTGAAGATACGGTGAAGGTGGTCAGAGGGAGTACTGCTAAGAGTCAGAACCTTCTACAACGTGGTTTCCGCTACTCCAAAGATGGAAAGCCGACTCTGGATGGACGACAGGCTTGGAAGTGCGTGAAGAAGAACGACAGATGCAAGGGACGACTCTACACCCTCAACGGATCCCTGGAGAGAACCCACCGAAGAGGAAGAAAGCTCACAGCGACAAGGACAGGAGGATTCACCGCATCGTGCAGAACTACCACTCTTACGAAGATGATGTCTTGACTTACCTGGATCTGCTCAGAAGTGTTATGTGAACTATTGATTGCTGTAACTCCTTGATAATGATTTGTGGGATTTAGATATTATTGCTATATTGAGTGTGTCAAGTTATATTAACTTTTCAACAACTCAATATTTTCAACAACTCAATATTCTCGATTTACATTGTCTGCAAAGCCCTGAATAAAAAAA